AAATTACCAGAATCAAAAAACTGTGAATTTACTACAATTAAAGTATAAAGGAAATGATTAGAAACTAATTACCCAATTAAATATCAATAAAACTGACAACCTAAATTAAATGGATGGTTTCAAAAATATAGAATGCCCAGACTAAACAAAACAAGAAACAAAGGACTTAAATATAACCCAATCTCATGAAAAGAAACTGGAAAGCCATAGTTGAACTCCCAAAGGAAAAAAAAAACCCACAAGACAAAATGGGTTTACAAACGAATTCCATCAAATATTCAAGGAACTCTTAATTCCAGTATTGCCTAAGTGGCTTGAAAAAATAGGAAAATAAGGGGTCCTACCAAATTACTTCTATGATACAAATATGATCTTAATACCTAAATCAGGGAGAGTAAGATGAGATAAAGAAAATCACTGACCAACATCCCTAAAGAACAATGATGCAAACATTTAAAATAGCAGGGGGACCACAAAAACATATCACAAATATTACACTATGACCAGGTCAAATGTACCACAGTGGAGGTAGTGTTTCTTCTCTAGCCCCCATATAGACCTGATCATTATCCAGCACTGTGTAAACACTGAAGACCCTTCTGGTAAATTCTCTATTCAAACTGTCATCCTGCCTGAGACCAAGTCTCTCAACAAAAAACCCTCTTCTAAAGTGCCTTAATCAAAAAGTCACTCCTCCTAAAATCAAAGGAACATATTCCAGGGAGGGAGCTCAAAGTGTCCTAGGTTCCTGCCTCATGGCAGGTCTACATCTAAGCCCATACATAGTACCACTGACTGACCACAGAGACAAGTCAGTGGTGCCTTCCTGATCCCCCCCCCCCCCCGCCAATGGAAAAACCTATACAGCTCAAATGCCAGGTTCTCCATGAAATTTTCCCGATTCCCACAGCCAGAAGTGATTTTCTCCATTCTTGGAAGCCTCTTAGCACCTTGTTTAACATTGACTGGCATATTTACATTAGGAATACAGGGGTTGTTGATTTAATATTAGAAGATCAACAAAATAGATTATATTTTAATAAGAGTAAAAATCACAGGATTTTTACCAATAGATGCAGAAAAACTTTTGATAAGATATAACACCCATTCCTATTATTAAAACACTAGAAAATAAAGGAATAATTATACCTTAACATGATAAATAGTATATTTAAAATCAAGGTACAGAATCATATATAATGGGGATAAATTAAAGGCCTTTCCAAGAAGTTCAGGAGCAAATCAAAGATGTCTGTCATCACACTGGTATTTGATAGAATATTCGAAATGTTCATCATAGACATTAGACAAAAAAAAAGTTGATGAAATAAGCATAGGCAAAGAAACAAACAAAATTCTTTTTTTTTTTGCAGATATGATGATTTAGAGAACTCTAGAAATTCAACTAAAAATTAATTTCAACATCAGCAAAGTTGCAAAACCTAAAATAAATCCATAGATAAATTATTAACATTTCTATATATTGCCAGCAAAACCTGGCAAAATACAGAAAGAAAAATTCCATTGAAAAGAGCATCAAATTGTATAAATTACTGAAGAGCCTACTTGCCCAGACATACACAGGAACTATATGAATGACTACAAAAGGCTCTTTATGGAAATACAAATCTAAATAATCAGAGAAATATTAATTGCTCACATGTGAGCTGAGTGAATAAAATTTTAAAAAATAGTTAAATTTACTTATTCAGTGCCATACCAAACAAACTACCAAAGAATTACTTTATTGAGTGGGAAAAATAATAAAAAAATCAATCTAGAGATACAAAAGATCAAGAATTCAAGAGAAATAAAGAAAAAAAGGTGGGAAGGAACTGGGCCTAGTAGTACCAGATCTCAAATCTGTAAGACAAAGCAGTAATTGTTAAAAATGATTTTGTCCTGTTTAAGAAACAGAAGCAAATAAGTAGAACAGATTAGGTATATAACATATACCTCAACACACAAGCACAGTAAATTTTAAAGCTTGGTAAACCCAAGACCTCAGGGTACCAGGATAAGAAATCAATGACAAAAAAATTCTAGGAAAACTGAAAGCAGCCCGGCAGAATATATGTATAAATCAACATCTCATACCACTTACCAAGATAATTTTCAAATGTCTCTCCAAATGTCCAAATTTTAGACACAAACTGTGATATCATAAACAAATTAGAAGAACAAGGGAAAAACTACCTTTCAGATTTATAGATATAGAAGAGTTCATGACCAAACAAGTGACGGAGGGTCACAGAAGATAAAATAGACAATTCTGTTGCATAACTTAAAAAAAAAAAAGCAAAGGGGTATGTGTGGGAGAGGGGAATCTTTGTAGCAAGTTTCTCTGATAAGGGTCTCAGCTCCATGATATATAGGGAACTGATTCAAATACATAAGAATTAAGGATATGAAAAAGCAGTTTTCAAAGGAAGAAATTCAATGTCAATAGTCATAAGGAAAAAATGCTCTGAACCACTAATAATTAGAGATATGCAAATTAAAGCAACTCTGATATTTCACCTTATATCCAGCTGGTTGACAAGAAAAAGAAAATGAAGAAAGTTAGAGGGGCTGTGGGAAAGAGGTAAATTAATACACTGTTGGTGACCTGTTGAGTCAGTCTGGTCATTCTGGAAAGCAATTAAAAACTATAACCCCCCCGAGTCAACTGCGTCAATTCTTTGACCCAGAGATACCACTACTGGGTTTATACCCTAATGAGATCAAAGAAAAAAGAGGGCCCATAACATATATGTATATGTATGTATGTGTGTGTGTCTGTGTGTATACACCCCCCCGTATGTAGCTGTGCATGGTTATGTATATACGTACATACATATGTACATGTATATATACACGTGTGCATGTGTATATACACATGTATATGTATACACACATATCTACATATATAACATTAACATAAAGTAAGAGTTTAATGCTTGTTGACTAGAATTGCTGACATAAATGGAATGGAATATAATGCTATAAAATATGATCAAGGTGATAGTTTCAGAGAAGTCTGGGAAAACTTGTATGAGCTGATACAATGAACTGAGTAAAACCATGAGAATAATTTACATGGTTAAAATAACAATACTGGGGGGAAAACTTTGAAAGATCTAAAAACTCAGATCAGTAAAATAATGAACCTTGATACCTGAGTACCTATGATTAAACATAATACTCACATCTCCTGAAAGAGGTGATTGGACTTAAGAGCAGAGATTCAAATAGATAGATAGATAGATAGATAGATAGATAGATAGATAGATAGATAGATAGATAGATAGATAGATAGATATTGCCAACACAGGAATTAGCGTTATTTTATGCATATTTGCTAGAAGGATTTTGTTTTTCTTTCTCCTTCTTAAACAGGGAAGATGGGAAGGAAAATTTTCATTCATTGAAAATAAATTTTTAAAAATTTGTCTTGGACATTTTGAGTTTAATATATCTCTGAATCATCAAAGTATGAAGTGTTCAAAAGGTAATTGGTGATGTAAGCTTAAAGCCCAGCAGGGACTGGGTATACAGATCTGGCAGTCATTTGCTTAGCGACAGTAGTTAAAACACAATTGGGCCAATGAGGTTACCAAGAGAGAGTATAGAGGGAGATAAGGGGATACAGGAAAGAAAGCTGGGGAACATTTAGGTAGTGGGCATGATACAGATGACGAGCCAGCAAGGAGACTGAGAAAGACTGGTCAGAGCCTATGTTTATAAGATAAAAAAAAGCTCCTAAGTCTTTCAGCCAGGAAGGACTTGCTCATCGAATCCAAACCCCTTGTTTGACAGATGATCAAACAGGCTCAGAGAGGGGATGTCATCTTTTCGATGTCACAACTTGTTCTAGAGCAGATCCAGTCTTTGAAACCATCTACAAATTTAGGATTTTTTCCACTAGGACACATTGCCTCACAACAGATTCACCTATATATAAATACAAGCTGTGGTCTAGTGGAAAGAGTCCTGGATTTGGAGCCAGACGGCGACCTGATTTTGTTTTAGACTCACCACTTATAAGATGTGTGACCTAAGCAGAAGTGTCCTCATCTGTAAAATGGGAACAATGACAGAAGTATTAGCTACTTCATAAAGGTCAAATGAGAATGTATGTACTTTGTTTTATGAAATGCCCATTGGATATCAGTTATCATACAGGGAGTGAGGTGAAACATGATTGATAGAGAGCTGGTTTTGTGGTTAGGAGGCCAAGTATTTGAATCCTGTGATCAGAAATCTTTAACTTTGTGACTGCCACAAGTCACTTAACCTATTATCCGCAGTTCCCTCATCTGTAAAATGGGGAAAACAATAGCTACTTTATCAAGTCTAAGAGGCTCAAATGACAGAAGACGTGAAACCTTAAAGTGCAATATAAATGGAAGCTGTCAGTACTGTACACATTAAACGCCAACATGAGACAGATCTATACTTCTGTTGGTATAAGAATGCCCTTCCCAATGCATATGGGTGCCATATAAATGTCAGTTAGCACAATCACTGTGATCAACCTGGGTGATGCAGAAATAAATCCTGGGAAGTCTCCTGAGGCATCCAAACGGGAAGCAAATTGCTTAGTTAGGGTCATCCAGAAAGTAAGATTAGAAACTAGATGGTTTCAAATCCTACTCCAGAAGATTACCTACTACACAATGCTGCTTCAACGTATACCATAAAATCACAGATAAACCAGAAATCTGTGTGTGTGCATGTATACACATATCTATATGGTATAAGCTAGAATATTACTTTTATTCTATACAATGGTCCAGCTTAATTTCTCTAAATAATGAGCTATTTACACACCATAATGAAATTCCAACCCTAGTCACAGAATGACGACTTATTTAAAAATAACAAAGACCACATTTCTCACTTTCATTTTGGCATAAGTTCTTTCATATTTTACTTAAACAATACTTACATTTTTCCAGAACCATCAAAGAAATAAAGTATTACACATAAAATAATTTTAAGTACCAAAACCGGTTTTATTTTGATGGAAATTACATACTGCCTTGACCTTTATAAGCAGGGTGAAACAACATAATTTGACCTATTCAGATGCATCTGGCTCATTATAACCATTAATTACTGTACTGTGCTGCATGTGATATAATTCCCTTAGAGGCTAGGGAAGGGCTTGCCCCTCTTTGATGGTGTCAATGTACCTACCACTGAGACGGAGGCTGGAGAGAGGTGTAAAAAAAGGTCATGGTAGGGGTCTATTATCTGCTTATTGGCAAAGAAATTGGAAGCCAAGCTGGTCTGAATCGTATATGAAGAACAAAACAGCTCCGAGGTAGCACTCGATGAGTAAAGCACGTGAGCTTTGGCACGTGATCTTTCTGACATTTACGTTCATTCCCTGGAGGCTTCTGTTCCTTAGCACTAACTGTTAGCACCATATAGAGACGCTGGTGATTTTTGTGGCTCTTCTATCTTGCTATTTTACAGTAGCTATCGGTTTCTAAGTAGGCCATCATGTCACTTGTAAATAACGATAATTTTGTCTTCTCTTTGCCAATATTTGTATTCTTAAATTTGTTCTAGTCATTTCTAAAGCTATGTTGATTAAGAGTAAAGTGTGTTGGAATCCCTCTTCTACACCCTTGTTTGGAAACTCCATCTCAAATAATGCTGACATTAACTTTTAAATAAAGTTGACTTTAGAATATTTTAACCTGCAATTTTAATTTAACCTACATTCTCACAAATGCATTTTCTTGATACTTTAAGAATAGTGTCTTCCCACGGAAACTCCTTTTCACGACATGGAAATGCTGGGACTTGGATGAGAGAAAAGATGCTTTCCCTGAGCTTCACGTGTTAAATGGCTTACATGGTTATGCATCAGAAATAGATATGGTTTTATCAGTGGAAACAACACTAGAGATGAATGATCAACCTTTTTGCTGTGGCGCTCTAAGTACCATTGGGCCTTTCCACCTGACCTGCTCTCTTGGAAACTTTTTGTGAGTGTTCTTTTCCTCTACTGGGATGCAAGCTTCTTAAAAGCAAGGCCTATCTTTTTCTATTTGTATCTCTATACTTAACTTATTAGCACAGCACTCTGCATACAATAAGCATTTAATGAATGTTTTTTCATTCACTCACCCATCATATTTGAGCGCTGTCCCTTTGAACGCAGGGAGTAATTGATTCCCAAATCACCGGACTTCTCAGCCTACTATAACCTAAGGACTGCAGAGCATCAGGTTTATAAGTCAGAAAACCGCTGCAAGAAGCACCCTCTGTGACTCTTCTCCCAAATGGGAAGAAGATAATTACCTCCATTTTCATGATACTGACACTCAGGAGTGAATTTGAATTACAGGGTCCTTGACCTAACAGCCTACACCACGCAGCATGAAACTTGACTGGAGTTAACACTGTGGAAATCCAAGGCTCGTCCCTGGCTCTCATCTGCACTAACTGTGCTCACTGCCAGCACCACAAGCTGAGGTACAGAGACCCCCACTGCTGGGCCATGGGCTCCAGAAAAAACAAGGTATGAATACATGCAAAAAGGACGCTATTTTCAGAAAAAGACTGCAAAAGGCATAAAAATCTTAGTTTGTCTATGAACAAAATGTTCCATTCTAATAATAAACTCTCTGCACTGCCAAAGTTCGCATCTGAAAGACTTGACTGCTGTGCGTTCAGAGCGAGGAGTTCTTCTCTGCTACGGACCGTGCTGGATATTCACAAGGAGAAGGGGATGCCCCAGACCTCACTGAGAGGAAAAGCTTCACATGCTGTAAAGGGGGAATGGGGAACATCGATACTGTTTTCACTCCCACGGTAACAGACAGCTATCTATTTATTCAATGGCACAGGCAAAGGCACGCTTAATAAAGTCACCCCCAAACCCAACTTCTTTCTTCTTAAAACAACAGACCTGGCTTGTGGTTGTTTTTTTATAGGCCACTTCAAACTTTAATACTATTCCCACCATACATTCACAAAATAAAATGCTATAGTAATAATAATAATAATAAAAAAAACAAAGCTGTCAATTCCTTCCCAAACTACAAACAAGTTTTAATTTATGAACAGGATTTCTTTCCAAATTAAAGTTTCTCCAGTGTCAGGAAAAATCAATGTGAAGATTTGTTTGCTCAAGTGTACTGATTACGGAAGGGGCTTAGGGCCTGCTGCTTCTTGCAGAAACTGAAAAAGGTCCCATTTTTAGGATAAGGAGGAGAAAAATTTGCACTCGTCCTTCTGGGGCACATAAGGAGAGAGTGGAGTCTCACAATTTGGAAGTTTCTGGAAGTTGCCAGAGGAATTGGATATGCTCTCCAGCAGACGGGTGATGCCTCTTCCCCGAACATTGCTTGTCTTGCCAGTTGTTTTCACCCCAGACGGAAAGTCACCTAAGATGATGAAAACATAAGGAGCAGAAATTAAACACCTCTATTCTTTTACTAAAAAAGGATTTCTCACCTGATTTGCTGCCCTCTACTTCCCCACAACAACTAGGTGAGGGTGAACCGAGGGGCCTCTGGAGCTGGCCACAAAATGAAGGACAACATAAGAGAAGGTGATTCCCAAGTCTGAGTTTCATGGTCTTCTGAGTTAAAATTGTAATTCCAATCCTGGGATATAAAGGTGGTCAAGAATCTTACTTTGCCAGGTTTATCAGTGTTGTCTGAAATTCAATAGTTATGTAATGCCTTGATGTCTTTAGGTTCTAGTGGGGAAAAGATTTTAGGTAGTTTCTGAAATATGATGTATCATTATTATATCAGAATTGTGGCTGCCAAAGCAATTAATGGCTCTCAATGAACTGATTAGCCAGTCACCTGTAAAAGTGATACCACCAAGCATTTACTATTCCTAGTAATAAAAGTGGATCAGGAAAGACTTTAAGGAGAAGGTAGCTTGAGCTGAGTTCTGGAGAAAGCTAAAAATTCTAAAAGACAGGCAAGGACAGTTAATTCCATGAATGGGAGGTGATGCAAAGTAACAGAAAGACAGGAGAGAGTTCAGTTTGGCTAGATTGCAGAATTCATAAAGGCAGGAAAATATAATAATTCTAGAAAGGTAGGTTGGAGCCCAATCATGAAGAACTTTGAATATCTAACAGGGTAGTATATGTGCCTGTACTCGATGTAATAAGGAGCCCCTGGACTGAGAAGGAGTAGACAGTCAGCCCTGGGCTTTAGCAATATTACTCTGACAGCAATAGGGAGAACAGTTTGTTGAGAGGAGAGATCCGAGGCAGGGAAACCAAGTAAGAGGCATCACATTTATTCAGATGAGAGGTAACAAGGCAATGAACTGGATGGTATCCATGTAAAGGGAGACAAGAGGGCAGATATGGGATGTGGCCAATAACATTTGTTAATTAACTGGATTTGTAGGGAGAGGAAGAGTGGAGAGTTGAGGATGATTCAAGCTGTATACCTATACAAGCCTGAGAGGACAGTGGTGGCCTCAACAGAAATAGGGAAGTTAGGACCAGGGACGGAGTTTTGTGGGGAAAAGGGAGAGCAAGATGAGTTTTGTTTGAGACATACTGCATTTGAGATGCCTATGGGAAATGCAGCTAGAAATGTCCCACAGCCAATTTGTGATATAGGACTGGAGCTCAGCACGGAGTAGGTGTGGATATAGAGATCTTATATCCAAACTGCCTAGTGTTCTACAGAAAACACAAAATTAGATACTTTTGAAAAGGGAGAAAATTAACATTAACATAGTTCTCCAGTTTATAAAATTCCCTTCCAAAGTATAGAACACGTTCTATATCCTGGGACTGGCCAATTTAGACAGACTTCTTGTGACTGAGATCTAACCAAACCAAAGGCAAACACGTAACCTCATCACCCACACCTTTCCAGGCTCCCCTCCAAAATTACTTACAGGTGGACATGTTGGATCTTTGTTCCTGATAAGAAGAGTTTAAAAAAGGAGGACTATCAACTCTCAGTTTCTGTAAGACAGAAGAACAGGATTACTGATTTGTTCTTGGTGAGCGGAAGAGATAAGCCATCAGGCTGAATTATTTTATTAATTGCTGAATGGCATTCTGTCTGCTCATGATAACATCACTGTGTACTAGGTAAAATCTCCAAAATTCTTCCACGTCCCAGATCCCTTTCTGAGTATACAACTTTTACCTACAAGCAGCTCATTAGCAAATCTGGGTTGTGCTAACCGTAAATGCCAAACATTTATAGATTTCAAGTTACTTCCATTTATTGACTTTAAATTCAATTCAGATTCTATCCTAGTACAGAACCCCTCAACTTAGGCTAATACTTTGCCACAGTCTCAAGTACCTGTTAGTAGCATGAAATGGGTTATAAGCAAGGAAGGAAAACTGACCAAGTTGGATTCTTTCCACTAAAGCTCATCCCCAACGTTCTCACGTTTGATCAATGTGGCATTATTTTAGGTGAATTTCCAGAACATTGTGAAATCCAATATTTAGACGGCATAAAATACCCATTTGAATCCTAATCATTTGTGGACTGCCTATACCTCTAGTACTTTCTGGAAAAGAAAAACTTAATCGAATGCATATTTTGATTTCAAAAACTAGCTCGGGGCAGTTAGGTGATGTAGTGGATAGAGTTCGGGCCTTGGAGTCAGGAGGACTGGAGTTCAAATCCAGCCTCAGACACTTGACACTTACTAGTGTGTGACCCTGGGCAAGTCATTTAACTCTGCCTCACCAAAAAGCAAAAAAAAAAAAAAAATCAACCCCTTCCCCCACCGAAAAAAAAAAAAGCTTAAAAGGAGTGAGAGGGGAGAAGAGTCTACCAAAAAAAGACATATGGACTCTCAAAAGTCAAGGTCTGTGCCTAGATCTAGAATAACACTGAAGAGAAGGGAGAGAGCTAGTCAAGTTTAATTGGCAGATTTTAGCCAGAATCTCAGAGTAGATAAGTCAGCTCTAGAAAGTTAGCTGATTTTTCAGAGCTGTCTTGATTCTTCTCAATTAACTCCACAACACAGTTACCTGGAAACGTCCTGCATCCAGCACCACCATTTTGGGATTTACACTGCTACTGGCTTCATAATCTTGGAGTGGTACATGAGTTTCTGTGAGAGGAATTCCAAAAAGAGTGCCTAGGGAATTACTGATGCAATATCTTTAAAAGAAAAAAAGTTCAATATTAGAAAATCACCATTTATAACAATTCTCTCTCAAAATCTCTGCCTTTAAAAATATTTGAGAGATAAATAGAACAAAACTGGGCACAAAGACCCTAGATTTATGGGAGAAGAGACTTCAAGAAATTCAGAAAAAACACAAGAGGTATTCGGTGGCCTAAAACCACAAGAGGAAAATCGCCCCAGGATGGGTGGAATACAAAAGCATCACATTGTGACAACAAAAATATAAAGGATTCTGATGATGCAGAAAAAGAGGGTCTAGAGACAGCACACGGAGGTACTGAGACCTCACCAACTCAGACTTTTAAAAGACACTGTAGAGAAGATAGGAGGAGAAGTAACAGGCTAAATACAAAAAAGAATGCATTGTAAGAACACTAAAGCTCAAAACCAGCTGAAGCCTTGCAGATACAGAGCTCAAGAAGGAACAGGGTCATTACTCAGGGTAGAGAGGATAGTGAAAAAACATGACAGAAGGCAGAACCCTCTCCCCCTCCCACCTTCAACAAGGAAAATCTTCTAACTGTAAAGGCTAGCTCAAAAATGGTCAATGGGGAATTGAAACCCAAAATAAATGAGCTAAGAGAGCATTTAGCTGCCACTGGTGAGTCCAAGTATCAAACCTACTTAAACCCAGGATTCTGGGGGAAAAAAGAAAACTGGTAGATGTAGTTGATAAACTACTGCCTATAATTCTGGAAATGTATACAAAACAGAAGAGGGGTTATGGAATGGCTCTGATTTTAAAAAAAAAAAGATGGCTGGATTCTCCCAAACTATAAACTAAGGAGATTAATTTAAATTCCTGGAAATCTTATAGAACATATATACTAAAATATGATATTTGAAAAAAATGGGTATAGGTACAATCCATTTGCATATTAACAGTGGCTCTTTAGCCTCCGTGGACCTTAATTTCCTCATCAGGTTGGACCAGCCGGCCTCAAACTCCAAATCTTCATGTAGCCTCTCTAGAGGTCCAATCTAACTCTAAATCCATGACCCTATGACCTATTTCATAACCATCACTTTCCAAAGGAAGCAAAGGAGTTCTTCAAGGGGTTTCTGGTCATGCTAGACCAATCTGGTTTCACTTTTTGGAGTTACTAGGTTGGTATATCAGAGGAATGCAAAAAAACACAGAAGCAAAATCTCTCACAATACTCATTAGGAAAGTGACAAGTTGGAATGTGTCTAAAGAAGAATAGGATAATGACACTAAGGACTAGCTGAAAGAAGCAGGGAACTAAGCCTACAAAAAAAGGCTCAGGAAAGGCATGTCAGACAATCAGTAAGCATTTATTAAGAGCTTATTATGTTCTTGAACCCAAGGAGCTCACAGTCTAATGGAGAAGACAAGATGCAAGTAACTATACACACAAGCTATACAGAGAGCTAATGGAATGTAATTTCGGAACATTCCAGGGATAAGGGTGAGTCGCTGTCACACGTAAGGATCAGCACATAGGCCAGCATGGCTTCACTGCAGAATACAGGTTGTAAAGCATAAGAAGACTAGAATGGTAAAGAAGGCAGGCAGTAAAAGGCTTTATACGTCAGAGAACATTTTATAGTTTATCTTGGAGGCAAAAAGGAGTCAAAGGAGTTTACTGAGCAGGAGTGTGATGTGATCAGACCTGTGCCTTAGGAAATCACTTTAGCTGCTGAGTAGAGGAAGACTAAGCAGAAGGTTCCTGCAACAGTCCAGGTGATGGGGGCCCACATTAGAATGGCAGCTATGATTAGAGGGAAGTGGGCATAAGTGGGAGATAGTGTGAAGATGAGTACAAAAAGGCATAATGGATCAGATGTGGGATGTGAGTGAGGAGGTGAGGTTGACACTAAGTCAACTAAGTTGACACTAAGTAAACCCCGGTTTATAGGCAGTACCCTCCAAAGTCATAGTAAAATTGGGATAAGGGGATGAATTGGGGAGAATGGGACAAATTCTGCTTCAGACATACTGCATTTGAGATGCATCTAATTCAAGATACCCAAAAGGTGGCTGGTCATGTGACACTAGAGCTAAGAGAGAGCTCAGAGCAGGCAGTGTCAATCTGGGAATCTCCTGTGTATTGATGTCAACTGACTCCAGGCAGCTAAGCGAGATGGTACAGAAGAGGAGGGCCCAGGACAGGGCCTTGGTGGACACCCCACAAAGGAGACTGAAAAGGATAAGTCCCACAGGTAGAAAAGAAACACAGGAGAGATCTGCATCATAAAAACCTAGAGGAGAGATTATCCAGAAGAAAGTGATTGAGAGTGTCAAAGGCTGAAGAGAAGTGAGGGTTGAAGACTGAGAAAAGGCTATGAGATCTGGTAATGAAGACAGCACTGCTACCTTGCCTTGAGAGAGGATAATTTCAGTTGCATGAGGTTGGAAGTTAGACTTCGGAAAGTTAAGAGTCCCGTTTCAAAGTGTAATGTGTAAGGCTAGGGGGTTTGAATTGATTGTCAGGTAACTTAAAAAAAATAATTTTTCCAGGAATGAAAAGTTAGTATAACACTGTAAACATTAGGATTTGAAGCAAAATTCACTAAGTTTTGTTGAGTCAATGATTCACTAACGGTGCAGAAGACAAGGGAGGGCAAGGCAAAGATGGTGGGCACTGCCCACAGCCAGAGGCACCATCAACCACTCAGCAAAAAGAAGGTTGCTCATGAGAACCACCACACCCTGATTCCCATGGCCTGCTGACATGAGGTATTTGAGTTCCCTCTACTAGCTAAAAGATGCTTTCCCTTCTCCAAGATGACCCTTAAAAAGTCAAAGCACCACATAACTTCTATCTGCTAAGGGACCTGTGCATGTAAAATGAGCAAAGAATCTGAGGACAAATTTGTGAAATAACCTTCAAAGGAAACTACATTCTTTCTTGAAAATTCAAAAATCCCTAAAACAGCTTTCCAAAGAGAGAATCCTCTATAAGTCAAGATCTTGTCCCCTCTCTCTCCCCCTACACTGGGAAAGACGAGAAGAAAAGCAGGACCAAAAAGCAGCCCCGGCAGTTAGCAAAGGGTGAAGAGAAGACTAGAAGAACTCACCTAGAAGGCTAGCAAGAGGCAGCCCAAGAAATGACCCTAAAATTCAGTACACAAGACGCACCCCAGGCGGCCCTTCCCTGACCCTGCACTTACGCAATCTTCTTGCAGACAGCCAAAGCACAAAAGAGAATATCGTTTTTTTCATGCCACTTGCATCTGCATAAGAAAGAAAAAGTTTTAAGTCTACTTGTCTGATAGCGGCATTTATTTTATGCATAACCTATGAGCAATGCTTCCTATTGATCTAGCTGAAAAAGAAATGCTTTTATGTTATCTACATAAAAATGCTGAGGCTTTCCATTTTCAACAAAATATGATATTTCATAATGCAAACTATCTCCCCTTCTGCACATACATGCACAAGTTTATGTTGCTATGAGGACACTATATACACTATAAAATGAAGCATTACACTGCCTTGAAAAGGATAACTTAACCACATTATATTAAAGACAAACCGTAGACTCCATCTACACCAATCTCTCCATTTTATAGATCAGCAAACTGAGTCCTGCAGAGGAAAAGTAATTTCTCCAGGACCAGTCGGTCAATCAATATTTATTCAGCACTTACTACATGCCACACTGTGTTTAATTAAGAACAGGGGTTACGATGAAAGACAGAAGATAGTCCCTATTCTCAAGGAGCTCACAGTCAATGAGGGACATAAGTAACACACAAACACCCATGTACAAGCGAGCTACACACTGGATACACTGGAAGTAACCAACAAAGAGAGGGCTCTAAAATTAAGCAGCTGGCAAAAGCTTCCTGTAGAAGTAGGATTTTAGCCAGGAGTTGAAGGAAGGCAGACAAGCCAGGAACCAGAGACAAGGAGGGAGAGCATTCCAGGTGTGGGGGAGGAGGGGAAAGGCAGTGAGAAGGCAGAGTACAGAGATGGAGCATCATGTGTATGTGTGTGTGCATGCACAGTAGGAGACCAGAGAGGTGGCAACAGGAGGGCCAGGTTATGAATGGCTTTAAACACTAGAGGTTATACTTGGTCCTAGAGACGATTAGGGAGCCATAGTAGTTTATAGGGCAGAGGAGTGACATGGTCTGTTCACCTCCTGGTTTCTCTGGCTTCCTGCAGGCCTTGGCTAAAATCCTACTTCTACAGGAAGCCTTTGCCAGATGCTTAGTTTCAATGCCTTCTCTTTGTTGGTATTTCCAGCGTAGCCAGCGTGTAGCTCGTTTGTATGTAGCCGTCTACGTGGTATCCCCCAATGACTGTGGGCTCCTTGAGAACCAGAACTATCTTCTGTTTTCCTTTGTATCCCCCTGACTTCAAAGAAGAGTTGAGAGAACCTTGTGGCAGGCAGACCAACCAGCAGGTGGTAGCAGTATCAGTGGATAGAAGGGAACATAGGTGAGAGATGTTATGAAGGTAAAATCTACAGGAGTTGGCAACAGATTGGATACATGGAGTGAAAGAGATTGAGGAGTCAAGGAGGACAGCTAGGTTGCAAGGCTGGAGGACTGAGAGAATGCTGGTACACTCATCAGTAAATTAGGGAAATCAGGAAGAGGGGAGAGCTTGGAGGAAAAATAATGACTTCCATTTTGGACACGCTGAGTTTATGATGTCTATGGAATATCCAGTCTGAGATGTCTATAGACAGCTGGATGTGAGACTGGAAGTCAACAGAGACTGGGTTAGGGCTGGACAAGTAGATTTGAGACTCATCAGCACAGGGATAAGATCACCAAAAGAATTAGTATAAAGGGAGAAGAGACGAGGGCCCAGAACAGCCTGGCAAGATCCTGCTGGTTAGCAGAAGAGACATGGATGATGGTCCCATAAAGGAGAATTAGACGAGATGCCACACAGGTAGGAGAGAACCAGGAGAGAGCAATGTTAGGAAAACGCAGAGATACAAGTGGTCAAGGAGGAGGAGCATTAAGAAACCCTTAGCTACACAAATAAATATGCCATTACTAACCTGTATACTTACTAACTGGCTGCAAAACCCTTGGCCTAACTGGGCTGTCACCTTCACTACATGATGCTTCTTCAAGACCATTTTATAAGAATATACATCAACAGGGGCAGCTAGGTGGTGCCACAGTGCACAGAGTGCTGGGCATGGAGTAAGGAATACCCGAGTTCAAATCTAGCCTCAGACACTTACTAGCAAGTCACTTAACCCTGTTTGCCTCAGCTTCCTCATCTGTAAAATAAGATGGAGAAGGAAATTGCAAACTACTCCAGATCTTTGCCAAGAAAACTCCAAATGGGGTCACAAAGAACTGGATACAACTGAAAGACCAAACAAAAATACTCCAATAACTGTACGTAAACCTCACTAAAGTAAATCACTTTCAGAAGTGAAATAAATACTTTCCATAGATATTGAGTTGATTTGGCATAAAGCCCATCTCTTCTGTGTACTCAACAAGGCGCTATCCCAAAGTAAGCTCAGAAATGAATAATGCTGGAGTGAGAGAATACTGAGCAATAAAAAATTTAAAAACCCAGATGCTGAGGGCCTCTCCAGCCTGGCAGTAACGTCCTTATCCAGCCTGATTTCATACCACCTTCTCCACTCCAGGAAAACTGGACTTGAAGCTCTCCCTTGATTTTTCCTGTCTCCCCTGCCTCTCTGCCCTCCCCCAGGGGGGAGCTATAGAAAGGGAACAGGCCGCCCTTGGCCAGCAACTCTTCCCAGAGATCTTCCTCCTCCTCCTCAAGAGCTGACCTAAGTATGTCTCCAAGGAATTTTCCCATGACCTTTCCATTTTTCCCTGACACTGCTTAACTTCTTATGGACTTAGCATTTTCTATCTTGTGTTTATTATTTACATGCAGGCCATATTGCTACCATTAGAACTTAAGCTCTTTGAAGGCAAACCCTGCCATTTTTGTACACATAGTAACACTTAAATGTTCATTGTACTGAATCCTAGATAAATACAGACTTTATGAAAAAAGGGTATGCATCCCAAACAGATTCTCCCCCTTACCTTTTTATCCTGAAATGAAACCTTAGGTTAAAAATCAAATCTTTGTTTCCAACAACTCCCCTAAAAGTGTTAAGTCCTTTTAAGATATTGGGGAGGGGCCAAAAAGTCAGTCACAGGCTCCCTGCTGTCTGTGTCTCTAACTACTTCTCATTACTTACTTGGAACATGAAATTCCACAATATAAGGTAATTAACAACACTTTTAGAAAACAGACTTACAACGAAAATCAGTTTATCAACTACAAATTCCAAAATTAAAAATTGGCTTGAATTTAAACTAAGTATTTATTAATTGCCGTCGTGTGCAGGACATTATGTTAGGAGAATGTAACGATGAAAAAGACCCCCCAGACATGGACCTTTCCCTAACAAAGCCTCTGGTTCAAGAGGGCAGATGAAGGCCACGCACTTCCTGTGAGCTTGCTTCAACGGATCTGTCTGGTCACCAATGCAGGTTCACGTCAGGTTGCATGACTTCTTATCCTATGTAGCTATTGTGAATGTCACCTTGTAAAGTCTCACAGGGGTCCACAGGTTCTGGGGGCCATCAGGACAAAGAACAGCAATAGAGTATACAGGGATTGCATTGGTCATCCAGGGTTCTCACCGGTGACTAGGTAACATTCTGTAATCACTGATCTTGCTGATGATATCACTATACCGATTCTCTTGTGTAATTCCTTATTGAGGACCTGCTGTAACCTGCTCACACCTAGCATGCATGTCTCCATTACTCTTTGTGTGACCTGACACTTTGCTTCTTCAGAGACTGTGGGCTTCCAGTCTTAAGGAGAATCTTTGGCTCATTAAAAGCAAAATGCAATTTTCCAAATACAAACCAGCCAGCCTTGTTTTCCCTCTTGTTGTTAAATCCTGGCCCCAGATCACTGTCTGGTGGCAGCATCTGTTCAAGATACACATACTAATGGACACTCTGGGTTGACCACTCAATTAAATATCACTAAGTATTTGGCATTTTTCATCTACTGAGATTTTCCCAGGTGGATAGGCTAATTTTTTTTTCTTTTTATTTTATTCTCCTCCTCTCCCCCACTGCACACCCATTGGGAAGGAAAGAACATAAAATATGTATAGTCATGAAAAACAAATCCCTGCATTAACCATGGCCAAAAATAGAATATCTCATTTCCTTTTTTTATGATATAATTGTTATTTAATAGTATTATTTCCAACATTTGACTGGCTTCATCTGTTTCAGCTTTTGCTTTCTTCAATTAATTACATTTCCTGAAGGATGGATGGTATTTTGGATGTCATTTCAGAAATCAAAGAGACTTCGACTGTTGTTGCTTGCATCTTGGCTTTGTTTCACAATACACAAGCCATCATCCACACCTTTTCACAAAGTAACAGTCCTTGCAGCACCTCTTTAGAACAGCTTTTGTTTTGAGCCCAAGAGCAGGTTGAAAGAATGGAAGCAGGTAACCTGGAAGAAAAGGCTGGATTTTTGAGCTACACTTCATGCGACTTCCATCTATGGGAACTGTACTTTGTCATGAGGCAAAGAGGAATGTGGAGATTGAGGAAGGTTTTGCCAGACATCTGCTCATTTGGAAAAGAGCACTGCTGATGGTAAGCATAATTTTCTTTACAAACAGAGATGCCACGTTTTAGCCAAACCTGGTGTGGGTGGTGGATGTGAGAGGTCCCCCCGGTGCCCTCCTCTCAGGGTCACTGCTACCGAGGCAGGAGCTAAAAGCCATAGCCGTAGCAACTTGTCTAACCCCTTCAGAGAAGAATATTCCATTTTCCAATATATTTTTGCTATGCTCCTATATTCCCACTTTTGCATTGAAGTCATGAAGAATAAAAGTACATTCTAACTTAATTTGGAGTTTCTAATCAAATTCCTTGTAAAATTTTCCTTCCCCTTCATGATATCCAACTGATACAGGCAAGTAAGCTAGAATTATCTTCACAGCAAACTTTTTGCAAACATTTAACATGAATACTACAACACAAGATGACCCAGAATCCCCAGAAACATTGCCTCTTGCTGCTTCTGGAGATGTGACAAAAGCAGTTTCATGAAGTCCTGTGTCTCCCCAGAGAGCCAGTGAACCATCCTTCCATTCAGATTCTGTGTTTCAATTTATAGCAAAAAGGTCTGGTTGACTGATTTGGTTCATCCAACAGCATCCCTGCCCACTAACCGTGGACAAGGCTCTCACACTCACAGTGTCAACAGCTGTTAATGTTGACAGTCTGAAATCTAGGCACTTCTCAGCACTCTTTGCATCCTGTTTGTTGCTCTGACATAGCTCCCACAGAAGCAGGGAGGGGCCGTGCAGACCAAGGACCGCTTCTCATTTTTCTTTGTTGTGTATCCTTCTCTATTTCATGTCCTCTGATGTATTTTCATGGCATGGAGGGACACAGAGGCTGTAGATGCTAACTGTGATCTCTGGCCAAGTCCAACTGTAAGGAAAGGCTTGTACAGGCCTGGAAACAGTCTCAATCTACTTTCGAGGAGCACCCCAAGTTTGGAGACTCATGACCATCCGGGAATGAATTCTTTGGTTAAGGACACCAATGACACATATATAGAAATCAACACAATTTGCAGCCTATTAGGAGCTGAGGTCTCATGAAGGAGAGCTTACTTCTGGCAGGAGCCATCAGGGAAAGCTTCAGAAGAAGGCACTTGAAGCTGGACCTTAGAGGATCTATAGGATTTCAATAGGTAGAGAGAGAGGAGACAAAAGTGTACTGCCTCTAGAGTCAGGCAAATGGAATATGTGTTCAGATACTGATGACTAACCTAGTTTGGAAGGATTGTTGTTTCTATGTGTGAGAAGGCTGGAAAAGCAGATCAGAGCCCAACTATGGGGAGTGTTGGATTCTAGGCAAGTGGCGTTTTCTAAACAGGCAATGGGGAGTCACTGAAATTTGTCTGAGTAGAAGAACAACATGATCAGGAATCTACATGAGGAAGAACATCCTGGAAGATGGCGATAGGACAGATTAGGGAACTGAAACCAGACTCAGGGAGATGCCCAGAAAGTGGTGGGACTGCCTACAGAGGTGGAACTGGTAGGACTAGGCAACTGATTAGACAAGGGAAAAAGAATGCAAGATGAAGAGGGATACTACCTTCCCAGAAACAAAACCTCGAGGATGAAGCAAAGGTTAAATCTTGATGTTCTAGGACACGTCAAAGACCAGTGCGGGAAGGTCATCAGTGATCTATCCAACCTCCACTTCAAAGAAACCTGTCTAACCAGAAAGCCAACCAGAACACCAACCTAAGAATGAGAGGTCTCAAAGGAAAACCCTTCAGATAGTACCACTCCTGAAGAGTTCTGATCGCTTAATTAGCCCTTCATCTGCAGCCTATAAATCTAAAGGAAGGTAATGGATCACAATTCGGGCCACCCATTTAGATCAGATGCCTCTGCCTTCCTTCCACATAGAGCAGGAGACTGAAGCCTTTACTCCAAATTTCTCAGGGCCCCCTCCCCCCTGTTTTTCAAGCCTCAGTATTATCACTGTCTCCTTTCCTTCAATTACAGGACAAGGATCTCTACCACTCACTATGACTAATTGCATCCCCTCATTTTCATTAGCTCTTCCCCATAGTCTACTAACACTCAGGTCTTCACAAGCCTAAAAGTTCTCTCTTTAATCTTTCGAGTCTTATCTATTTATCATCCCATCTTTTAAAAATATTTTGTAACTGTGAAAAAGGTGTGTACACACACACACTGCTTCTCTCAGCCTCTTGCCACGGTGCTTTCACTAGCACTATTCTCAGGTCACCAAAATGGCCTTTAATTAGGTAAATACAAAAGCCCTTTCTCGGAGTTCATCTGATTACCCTCTCTGCATCTTTCAACATTGTCGATCACCTCATGCTACTAGATATTTAGTTCTAATTTGGCTTTACAACACCACAGTCTCCTGGTATTCTAACATTCTGTCTCCTTCTCTTCACCTCTTAATGTAAGGGTTATTTCCTAAGCATCCGTCCTTGGCCTTCTTCTCTCTACCCTTGCCCCTTCCCCCTTATCAATCCCCTTTGCTCCAACAGCTTTGTCTATCATCTTTGTGCAGATGACTCCTAATTATCTCTAGTCCTCACCTCTGAGTTCTAGACTCTTTTGTCCAATTGCCTCACTTCTTTGTACCACACCAAGATGTCAAACTCAACAGTTCATTGTTTCCCCTAAATCTATTCCTTCTGATTTCATAATTTCTCCCTTATCTAGACTCTCAGGTTTGTAACCTTTGGGTTATCTTTGCTTCTCTCTTATCCCCATTTACAGCACCCTACAAATTCTATCCCTGCAGTATCTCTTGTACCCACCTGACTCTATAGGCTCACTGCCATGACCTGCTCAGATTATTTCAAAATAGCCTAAGAGGTTTTTCTACCTATTCACTTTGCCTTCCAATACTTTCTTCATTCCACTGTCAGAAAAATCTCTTCTGCTTCTAGTCATAGCACTACTCCAGGACCAAGTAATCTTTCAAGGGGTTTTCTATTGCTTCCTACTTTGTAGAGTTTAAAGCCCTTTGCTTGGAATTCAAGGCTCTACAACTTAGCAGTACTATTTTTCTTGTCTTATCTCATTTTACTGCTCTTTACGGTCCAGTCAAACCGGATAACACCGACGAAAACTACTCATGACTCTCCTACCTCCACACCTTTGCTCAAGCTGTGCTCCATATACTCCCTTCTCCATCTGGTGTCAGATGCCTGCTCATTCCTTACAGCTCAACTCAAACGATACCAGGGAGCCTTCTCTTAACTCTCAGGAAATGATCTTCTCCCTCAGACCTCACGTCAACACTGGTTTAAAAACAAAACAAAACAACTTCTCTAATCCATGCTGGTATCTCCATCTGACTCTAAATCCCTGGAAGACTGGGACTGCATCTTATCCAAAATGTGTAAATTCCTCGGAGCACACTGCCTAGTACACAACAATCACTTAATAAATGTTCCTTGTTGATCTACAGCTACTTATCATATTGCAGTATAACTTTTGTACACATCAGAATCTAGCTTCACAGTTAATACCATAACTTCAATGTATTAACATTAAATAATCCCCTCTCAAGTATGGTTTTGTAGAAGTCATTCCAGGATCCCATAGCACCCTAAGGTAACACAATGGGGACATGGGAAGATTATCTTTTCTTGTAAAGAAGCTATAAAGCTCAATGATTTATTTCCTACCTTTTATTTTTCATCTGAAGCCACTGTCAAATACCAGAAAGGGAGTCAATGCAGGTGGGGGGAAGAAGATCTTGGGAGATAGGCAGGTTAAAATGCAGGGTCAGGTTTGCATATCAAGGTATAAAGTTTTGTTCTAAAGCTGAGTGTTAAAGATTGGAAAACTCAGATGACAGAAGAGGTTTCCTCAAGTATTTAAAAGGCTGTCGCATGGAAGAAGTCAGCCATGTTCTGCCTGTTAGAACAGAAGCTTCTTGAGAATAGGGATTTCCATACAGCCTTTGTGTCTGTATCCCCATCATCTAGCGCAGTGACTGGGGAATGCACAAAGTGCTTAATAAATGCTCGATCTACTGACTCCATAACAGCAGAACTAGACGCAACAGACATTAACTGCAAAAAGGCAAACATAAAGAAAGCCTCCCTAACAGTATATAGCTATCCCCAAAGTGGAATGGGCTGACCGTTGACTGAAGGGTGGACTGGCCACTTGTCAGGCACCTAGTAGAGGGGATTCTTGTTCAGGTACATATTGTGCTCTGAAATCTCATCCAACTCCGATTCTGTGATTATGAAGAAGGGGAGAAGTTAAGCTCTGTATCTTCTTCCCTACCCCTCAATTTCTTGACATCATCCCTACTTTATTCTCCCACACCATTGCTAGCTATTCTGACAGACAAACATATGGAAGGAACCTCTACTGAGAAATTCATATAGAACCAAAGTTTGGGCTCATTCTAGGGACTCCAGGCTCTCAGTCAAAAGCTGAATTGTCAATAAAGTGACTTAGCCCAAGAGCAACCTTGGCAGAAAGCAGTGATAAGAATGACAGATCAGGTTAAAAAAAATTAATGTTTTGTTTTACAATGTCTTGATTGCCATTTGTTGCAAGGTCACTTAAATAGACAAGACACTGTTTCTGGTCTCATCTAACTCAACTTTAATAAACAACTCTACCTACTTTTCCTAGAAATAAAAAAGCAATGAACATTTGGGCAAATACTGCTAAATACTGATATGCCTGCTCAGAATCTATCAAGTCTAAGAAAACTGTCTAAAATTTGCTGATATCATAAGTCCTATATAGTTGTATTTCCTAAATGAACTACATCTTCTCTGAGAGCCAGTTCCTCATTCAAGTCTCTATCACTCAAGTCTCTAAAAGGGAAGACAAGTCTTCCACACCCAAGCTCATGACAGGAGTGCCTGGATGCCAGTTTCCCTTCTAAGCAAGGACTGAAGCATTACTCTTTTGCTCCTTAAGGAATGCTCCAGCACAAAAATCACTCCATCACTTCTTTGGGAGTGGATGGAGCATGACAGGAATAGGCAAGGTAAGGGTATGCACTGGTTGGGACACAGCCAGGGAAAGGAGTGTCCCAAACTGGGCATGTCTTTGACATATCTTTGTTGTGAGATGTTTGCCCTCCATGGCACCCGGCTATGATATGTCAAGTAGTATCTTTTACAGTAAAGACTCAAAACCTCTGGTAGGCAGTAAGACTGGAGATGGGAAGGGAGGCTGGGGCAATTTTTAAATGCAGATAATTTACTTTTCAGACCTCACAAAGAAAGGGCAAATTCATCACAAATGGCTTCTTTATCCTGGCTCTGCTTGTTTCTGCTACAGCTGGGACAAATGAAGGTAATAAGGTGTTGACACTCCCTTCTAAAACATCAGATAAGATACATATGAATAGCCATATCCAGTAGTTTCAACTAATCAAGCAGCAGAAGACTATACTGGCAATACCTTGTGTTGCTAGAGTAATCCCACATGGACACATCCAGGAGGCTCCGTACCCAGGTCTTTGACGGCTCCTTACGAAGTTTTTGTTGGTAGATTCCCACCATGAGGTCCTCCACGATAAGGATTTCTAGCTCTTGCCTGGTTTCTTTCATCAGGAAAAGCAAGAAGAGAGTCATCTTTAGGTATTTTAAAAATATACATGAGAGAATAGAAACACAAAAGTGTACTGATAAGAATTTTATTTTTCCTCACCCAATTTCTTTGCCATATGCTTCAAGCACCAGTTAACTCTGTACCTATCATCAGACTGAAGAAAAAAAAATTACTTTCAATCCCGCCTGTCCCTGCCCCCCAATTATGGTTTTTAAATAAACACATTCCCCTCAAATACAAAATGATTCTGAAGGGGTCTTTCCAATCCAAATAATTGTCTGGACAGAGAAGCAGCTTGTTACAACAAGAGAGATTTAGCTTAGATGAAAGATGACATAAAAAACTTGAGTAAAGCAAGGTACAAATATGAGGGAATGGTATAATACAATGGTATTAGGACATAAGGACAATGGTATGATGTCTCTTTTTCTTCTGAGATTTGTACAGTGGAAATACAGTCTTACTTGGAGGCTGGGGTCTAGACCAGGAGAAGATAACCTGCAGCTTCAAGGCCACATGTGGCCTTCTAGGTCCTTGAGTTTGACCTTTTGACTGAGTCCAAGTTTTACAGAACAAATCCTTTTATTAAGGAGATTTGTTCTGTGAAGTTTGGATTTAGTCCAAGGGCTGCACTTGGGGACCTAGAGGGCCACGTGTGGCCTCAAGGCCACAGGTTCCCCCACCCCTGGTCTAGACTACAAAATTCCTTCTCAATCATGTTATGAAGTATGACTATATACTCAAGGACTCTTAAAGGTGCCTAATCATTATATTACAAAAATCAATAGAAATTGAGTAACCTCTCTGAAGGTAAAGATAAAGAAAACAGCTCTAAGACTTTCCCCAAAGACTACAGAAATTTCAGATAAAAGGCTTTACACCTAGCTCTATGAAAACAATTTGGAATGAATACAATTTAACAAACACCAACAGTACACAGTCAAATTGTCTTATAGGTGCTAAGAGATCTGCTCCTAACAGTTACCTTGCAGTATACAGGTGGCCAGCTGCTTTGGTTTGGAGAAATAAATCGATAAAGGTTTTGTAACACAGTTGCATAGTCATCTCCTGAGTGAAAGTTAGAAATAGGGATCTTGTGACTGGTATCACCTGGTAGAAAAAGAATAGGGAAAAAAAAAAGAAAAGTATGTCAAAATTAAATGATAAAAGTATTACAGAAGTAATAAAGTGTCATAATAAGTCCAGAGATGCTAATGATCACCACTGCTTCTTTTAAAGGGTCATATGAACAAGGAGGTAATTATGATTAAAAAAGTTCTCTAGAATCCAGAGTGAAAACACACTCTCTGCCATGATCTCTGTTTGCCAATTTATAAAAACAATCATTGCTAAAGCTGGATACCTACCCACTTTCAATCTTGGAACAATTATGGCAGCCACCTCCATACGCGCTAAAGTTGGATTAATGACTTAAGTCCTCTGAGAAATCCTCACTCTCTCAGACAATATGGGGACTGTTTCAGCCCACATGGAGCTTTCCTTTCTCTAAACTCCTACTGAACATAATTATATTAAGGATCAGAGCTCAGCATTTAATTTTTCTTCGTTTCACGTATGCCAGGACACTCCCCCTGAAATATACTACCATTGGTAGCAGAAACCATACCACACTTCTGCCGCTCCCAAACAATCTATGCAGGGCTGGGTAAATAATAATCCGAGAATAAGTATTTGATTTACTCATAAAGGATCTATAAAAACCAAATGCACAGCAAAGGAATAAAGTGCTTCTAAATGAAAATCCCCACCTTTGAAGATCCATAATCCACCTGGCCTATTTTTGCTCTCCAACAGTGGTACCAAGATTCACCACAGGAAGAACTTGCAAAGGTTTGAAATGTCTGTCCCTGCTTTTCCTTCATTACAACTCAATCAATCCTCCACAAATGTAAATGCTCCTTTAGCCTACAGTACCTCTTAGAGGCAACAAGTGAACGTGCTATCCATTTTGCCAAACGGTTCTCACTCAGACTTGTTTCAAGCTTCGAGGTGTACACTACCTGATTCTATTGTTACAGGAGTAGATACCATTATTCTCTTAGCAGTCCTCTTCTCATGGTGCAGCCCTTCTATATCCTTGGTTATTTTACCTACGTTATTATACTATTTATTCCTGTTCAACATACAATAAAATTTCAGAACTTGAAAATGTCAGTGTAAGTCTAGATCCTCAAGTGTGGCCCTTTGATTGAATCTAAACTTCACAGAACAAATCCCCTTACTAAAAGGATTTGTTCTGTAAAACTTGGACTCAGTCAAAAGGCTGTATCCGAGGACCTAGAAGGCCACAGGTTTCCCACCCCCTGCTTTTAGAATGTCCAGTTTCAAGATATTTTGTAGTTTGTAAAATAAAAGAATCTCCAAGGAGAACTTCCTTGAGAAAAGATTTCTTGAAGTTTTAAACCACAGGAAACCCTCTCCACACAAAAGATGGGGTAGGAGGGGAATGAGGGAGGGCTAATATTTAATCTTCTTTTCTTTGGTGTCCTTTAGAACAGAGGTGTCAAACTAGAGGTCCCCCCAGCAAAACTTCCCAGATTAAAATGTAATTTTTGTTTAACAAAATAAATAAAAATACAACATAATGTTAATTTGTGGTTTTCTACTTCAATAGAGGCCAACATGGTTCCAGTTTCTATTCGAGTCTGACACCACTGCTTTAGAGAACTAAAGTCATTTAGTTTGGTAACATACATGCTTTACTTAAAATTGTTTTTCTCATTAAGTGCTCTAGACAGCAAAGATTTGTCTCAACCAGGGGCAAAAGTACTTCCCGAGTTTAGTTTGAAATGTTCTTTAATTAGCTACAGCTACAAGGTACTAAATTTTAAACAATATCTTAGTTTTTTTCCCCCAGACTCTCAGAAACTAAACAAAATTAAAGTAATTCAATTAAACACAATATTTACTCAGGACATGTTATGTACAAGGCACTAAGTTAGGTACTAATATGAAATCAGAATAACAAAAGTCCCTGCCCTCAAGGAACTTACATCCTATAGGAGGAAAACAACACATTCAGAAATCAAGAAGTACAATGTAATTTGAGGCAGGAGAGTACACTAACAACTGAGCTGATCCTCAGAAGAATTCAGAGAGAAAGTGAAGAGGAGAGAGTGCATTCTAGTCAAGAGAGATGATGCCTGGTGAAAATTCAGAGGCAGTAGATGGAATGCCAAGTTAGGGAACAGAAAATAATTCAGTTGAGAGTCCATACACAAAGGAGAGAAATGTAAACTGGAGCTTTGATGTGACGGGCCTTACATGCCAAGTTAGTACTTTGTAGTCTATTCTAGCAAAAAGAAGTCACTGAAGGCTTTTGAGCAGAATATTTAAAAAGCTGGGCAGCTAGGTGGCAAGTGGATACAGTGCTGGGCCTAGAGGCAGGAAGATTCATCTTCCTGGGTTCAAATCAGCACTTATTAGCTGTGTGACCCTAGGCAAGCCACTTAACCCCGTTTGCCTCAGTTTCCTCATTTGTAACATAAGCTGGAGAAGGAAATGGCAAGCCGCTCCAGTAGTATCTTAGCCAAGAAAGCCCCAAGTGGGGTCACGAAGAGCTGGACGTGACTGAACAACAATTTAAATGTCCAGTCTCATGTCTTAGAAAGACAATTTTGGCTGATAGGCCAAAAAGCTATAAAGGCCAAAATAGCCGTAAAAGTCTTTGCAAGTTAAAGACTTTACATTTATGCTGTTAAATTTCATCTTATTAGATTTGTCCTGACAGTCTAGCCTGCTATAATCGCTTCTGGATCCTCCTCTGCTATCCAATGTGTTAGTTACTCACTATCCACCACTTCGCTGAGCCATCTACACACCCTTATCCTTGAAACATTAAAAACTCTGATCAGCACACAGATCCCTGGGGCACTCTACTTGAGACTTCCTACCAAGGAGACTATGAGCCATTAAAACTCTCAGGAATGGGGAGCAGGGGGTCTGGTCATTTGACACAAGAATAGCATGAAGAAATTTGGCAAATGCTTTGCTAAAATCTAGGTAAATTGCACCTATACCATTTGATCTACCAGCATATCACACTTGGTTTAAGTAGGAAGAAAAAAGGTTAGTCTTGCATGACTTTTTCTTGATAGCCACAAAGGCTTTTTGTCATGATGTTTACCTTTCTAGAGACTCACTAACCATTCCTTAAATAATATTCTAGACTTCTAGGACACAAAAAGCGCATCTAGTTTGAAGACTCTGATCGCTTCCTCATTAAGAAAAAGTAGACAAGATTTGCCCTTTTCTAGCCTCTCCCTCCCCATTTGTGAGTAGTTCAACAATCCCACCTATAGCTTTTAGTATCCTAGAGCTGGGGTGGGGAACCTGTGGCCTTAAGGCCTAAGTCCTCTAGGTCCTTAAGTACAGCCTTTTTGACTGAATCCAGATTTCACCAAACAAATCCTAATACATTTTTGTTCATCTTTTATATTTTTATTTTATTTTTAAAATGGGCATATTTAAAATACCAAAGGATAAAATAACAATAAAATAAAAAAATAATCGTCCAGTATTTACTGGCACAATTAGAACATTAGTAAGCCATAAGGGCTAAATTGACAGCTGCTACCCTCATTATTTAGTTCTTTTTCTGCCTAAGTGGCACCACTACTGTACAAGGCTGGTTGGGAAGAGTTTATGGGGGATAACACCTATCCGTTATCACCTTTGGACAATGATGCACTGTGTTTCTGTTTGAAGTAGAATTGGTGAATAGTTGCACAGCTCAGGGCAGCATTTTTTAATTCTTTCTGCTTAACAGGGCATCACGTCAAAGAATTCCAAGAGAACACCGAAGGAAGAAAAACTTTTTTTTTAAAGAGGATTGGGAATTGCAGTATTATCTTGTTTCTGCTAAAGATAAGATTATTTGCTTGCTTTGTGACACTGCAATATCAACATTAAAGAGATTCAATGCTCATCAGCATTGTAACACTTATAAGGACCACAAATACTTTAAATTAGTGGGAGAGATTGTACTGCAGAAATTAAAAGATGAAAAGCAAAGACAATTCTTTCAAGCAGCATTAAGACCTGGAAATAGTGCCATGGAAGCAACTTATAAAGTAGCTTATATACTCATGGGGAAAAGGAAAGCCATTCAGTGACGCAGAAATTGCGAAAGAATGCATTGTCGAAGTTGTAAGAAGCTTAGACCCTGATAATGTTTCAAAGTACAAAACAACTGCCTCTTTCAAGGAGAACCATAATTGATCAGCAGCATGAATTAGTCTTCAACTTAACAGAACTTCATGCAATACTCAAAAAGGAAAATATATATTATTCAATCGCTCTGGATGAATCAACTGATACTACTGACTCGGCACAGGTTTTACTTCATTCGGGTCATAACAGAAGATTTTCTTTGCTAAGAAGAATTATTTGCTTTGGGCACTCTTGCGAACAGAACAAGGTGAATAGAATAGATACCTTCATCAGCTTTCAAGATAAATGTCATAAAATTGGACTCGTTTTGGTGAGTGTATGTATAGATGGTGCACCTTCCATGACAGGAAAACATGAAGGTTTTATTGCACAGATTAAAAAAAGTATTAACAGATCCAGATGCTTCCATTTCTTTTCACTGTATCTTGCATCAGCAAAATCTCTGCGCTAAAGCTACTATTGTAAGTGACACTTTGCAACAAGTTATAAATGCTGTTAACTATATTTGTGCAAATGCAACGCAGCATCATCATTTTTGCAACATGCTAAAGTCGAACGACGAGTTATTCGATGTGGACTTGCCGTATCATTCTAAAGTGCGTTGGCTATCAGAGGGGCAGGTATTAGTCAAAAGTTTATATCTGTGAAAACAGATAATTAAATTTTATAAAGAACAGAATCAGCCATGTGAATTATTGAAGGAAGATTTCTATAGGAATGCTGCATTTCTGTGTGATATCATGTCAAATCAAAACGACTTGAATATTTCTTTGCAAGATAAAACAGTCTACATGCATGATTATGTCACAAAAAATCCAAGCATTCCAAAAAGAACCTTTTTTCAAAACACTTCTTCAAAATGAAATTTTGGATGAACATTTCCCCCAGTTAGCAAAGGTCATTGATGGGCAGGATAA